GGTGCAGTGTTCCACGTGACGGATCAACTCGGCAACAAAATCACCGACGAAAGCCTCATACTTTATATTCAGCAGGTCTTTCTCTCTCTCTCTCAAAAACTTTTTTTTAACCGACGTAAACACTATGTGGCATGTTGTTCGTGTCCACCTAAATTATAACATAAATCACATAGGTATATGTGAATTTGTAACACCACATTGAGTTATCACATAGGAACTAGCACAAAGAGTAATTTTTCCTCAATCCATCCGGCTAATTTTAGAGGTGTAAATTGAGAGTCGAACTGAACCAACATGATCCAAAACATTTGTGGCCCGGTCTCTTCTAAATTGGCCCCCAATGAAGCCATGTCGTCCCAGACAAAGCGCATAATATATATTTCCTCCTCATACACTAGTTCTGTTGTTTCGTTTTGTTTTAATCATAACTAATAAATTTGCAGGCACTATGTGCTAGCAGGGGAGGGATTTCAAAGGAGGTTAGACTATGCCCAGGAAGAAATGTGACACCCGGGCTGAAGGACCTAGCCCTAGAAATGACCAGCAAGGACCGACCGGGCCTAGTGTCTGAGATATCCGCGGTCCTTGTTGAGTTGGGCTGCAACATCACTACTGCCGTGGCTTGGACCCACGGTACCCGGGCGGCCAGCATTTTCTACGTGGAAGATGGGCTGGAAGGTGGGCCCATAACAGACCCAATTCGTCTGGCCCATGTACAGGAGCAGCTAGAAAATGTAGTTAAAGCCCATCATGAGGAGGGGGAGAAATGGAGTGTAAGGCTGACCACCCCGGCAGGTGGCCACACCCACAAGGAGCGGCGGCTCCACCAGTTGATGTATGCCGACGAGGACTATGAAAGTTGTCGTGGTTGTGACGGTAGTGGCAGCAGTGCACACAAGAAGGGTTGTGATCGGACCCATGTGTACATAGAGAGTTGTAAGGAGAAAGGGTATTGGATTGTGAATGTGAGGAGCAGAGACCGACCCAAACTACTGTTTGACACCGTGTGTGCCCTAACCGACTTGCAATACGTGGTGTTCCATGCGGTGGTTGCCTCCAGGGGCACCCTGGCAGATCAGGTAGGCACGTTATTAATTGAGCTTGTGCATAGCAATTAGTAACTGAAATTTGTCCCATGTTCTGTCTTTGTATGGTGTTTGATGTTATTTGAATGTGAAATATGTGACATGTACAGGAGTATTTTGTCCGGCATAAGGATGGCTACACTTCGAATAAAGAGAGTGAGAGGCACAAGCTTACCCTGTGCTTGATTGCTGCAATAGAGAGAAGGATCTCACAGGTATGTCTTAACTTGTTATCTATTAGATTTTCTAGTTATGATATATATGTGCTCATTATATAAATTCTTATAGTCATTCCACATATTAATTATCATATATCAAGTTTGTAAATGTGATATTTCTAGCATTACTCGTGTGTTACTGAGTGATGACGGAAATAATACTTTGGCAGGGCTTGATGTTGGACCTGTGCGCTAAAAATAGAATGGGATTGTTATCAGACATGACAAGGGTTTTCCGAGAGAATGGACTATCAATGTCGAGGATTGAGATTGGAACACGTGGTGAAA